TGGACCAGGGCCTCCCCCTGGGGCCTTCATCGCCCCAGTGGGGTCATGGTCAGCCCGGGAGGGGCCGGGGACTCCATCCTGCAGCTGGTTCCGCCCGCGCCCTGCCCTGCTCTGCCCTGCCCACCCTTCGAGGGCTGGCAGGAAAACATCCGGCCCAGACACTGGGGTTCTGGCTGAAAGGGGACAGAAGGTCAGTGGGAACAGGGGGCCATTGTGAGGGGCCGTTCCGCTCCGTCTGGGTGGAGGCCGAGCGGGCCCTCGGCTCCGAGGCCGAGTCCTGGATGGGCCGAGGGCAGGTGCGAGTCCTGGGGGGTGGCTCCTCCCTGGCTTTCTGGCTTCCCAGCCTTTGGAGTCACAAAGGCGTCTTATAAACGGAGATAACAGTCCGGCTGGGCGTGGTCACCCTCTGGGGCCCAGGAGAGTGAACTTGGCCGAAGCCTGCCCACTGGCCCCAGGCCCTGGGTGTCTGGACGTGCTGGGGTCGAAGGCCAGCCCCCTACGCGCATCCCCATGTGGGCCTGGAGCAGTGCTCACCCCTCTTCAGGGACCTGGCCCCCCTTCCCCTGCAGCAGCTTGGTGGCAACATCTGGGAGCAGGGACCTCAGGCCCCCCACAGGCCCCCCAGGGTAGGTAGGGACACTCAGAGGTAGGCTGGGGCCCAGGGGTCGACTTCCCTGAGCTGGGCTTGCTGTGGTCAGTGCTTGCTGTCCACTCCCTAACTGGCTTCCCTGAGGAGCGTGTCCTTCCTCGGCCACCGTGTGGGCCGACCCCGGGCCCTGTCCCAGGTCCAGGCCTCGGGGTCAGGATGGTGGTGGCCAGGACTGGTGGCGTGCCCAGTGGCTCAGGCCCCGGCCCCCAGCAGAGGCCATGGTGGGTCAGGGTGAAGGAGCTGCTGTGAGCCCCTCTCGGGGAGGGAGCTGCAGGTTGGGGCGCCCGTTTTGTCTGAGGGCACGGACCAAAGTCCTTCAGTCACGAGCCTGGGCCACCCCAGGGCTCCAGGGGCTTGGGACCCAGCTCGGCTTTGCTGGGCTTCCTGGGAGGCAGGTCGGGTGGGTCCCCCTGTGGTGCCCGGGACCGGCCTCTGTGTCCCGTGGACAGAGTTAGGGGCCCTTGGGGACCTCATGGCTGTATGGGTCCAGTTTAGGGCCTGGAGGTGAAGGTCTCCGGCGAGAGCCTCCGAGGCCCTGGTGGGCAGGGAGGCGAACAGCTTGGGCTCGGGAAGCTGGCCATGGCCCGGGGGCACTGCCCATCAGGCCCAGGAGCCTCTGGGGTTGGCCTCGGTCCTGAATGGCTGTGGAGCCGGGCTGGGCATGCGGTGCCTGGAGCTGCGGGGCCCGGAGCCGTCACACCCGAGGGACGGACTTCCTCTGGTTAGGACGTCCCCTGGTTAAGGACCAGCTCGGGGCCCCTGCTGTTTCCAGGTCCAGGCCTCCTCCCAGCAAAGGAACAAGCCTTGTCGGCTGCCTCAGTTTCCTCATCTGTAAAGTGGGCGTGTTGAGCCCTCGGTGGCTGTGAGCCTCACCGTGACTCACACAAGGGGTTCGGTCCGTGCTGGGCATCGCGGAGGGGGCTCTGCCCTGACGCTGCCAGTCAGTCAGGACGTAACCTGGTGGCGTCCCCTGCGGGCGTGGCTCTCCCCAGGCCTCCTGGGGGCGTCGTGCCTCATGGCAGTCCCTCCTGGTGAGCGGCAAGAGCTCAAGCCTCCCCTGTCTGGAGCGGGTGGCGTCCATCCCCGCTGGATTCTGGGGTGCATTGGCCTGTGGTTCATTACACGGGCACCCTCAGTCGTGGGGAGTTGGGATGTTTGTTTTATACGGTGCAAACAGAGGGGGAAGGGAGGAGGGACATGGGGACCCCACTTGGGCTCCCGTGTGGGTCTGGGGGCTGAGGTTACGGGAACGGGGGGCTCTAGGGCGCAAATGTCTCGTTCTGTGGGCCTGGCTGGTGTGGAGGACGCTTCTGAGAATTTAATATTCACAGCATGTTTTTGGGGGGACATGTGCCATTTCCTGTCTGGACAGAGGTGCGGGCACCCGGACCCCGAGCAGGCCCAGAAGCAGGTGCGTTGTAAATCGCTGCTTGTTTCTCTGACAAAAACGGGCATGGGAAGCGGCCAGTGTTGTGTGTGCTTCGCCAGGGGACTGGCAGGAGGTGTTTCTGGAATGTCTACCCCCCCGCCCCCCGTGGTGGAGAACGCCGTGCCCCATTATGCCCGGGAGTCTGGGGGTCTCGGGGTCTCGCTGAGCTGGGTCCCAGAGTCAGCCCCACACTGGAAACTGGGGGAGGCCCGGGAGCAGGAGGCCCGGCTCGGCCCAGGCTCCCCCATAATAACCAGGGACACGTTGGGGAGCGTTGCCCTTTGCCCCAGATGCGCCCAAAACACGGACTCAAACACCTTCCCTCACCACCACTCTCCCCGCCCCTCTCGCCCCCCACCCTAGCGCCCACCTTGAAGCACATCCTCAGACCCACTGGCACGCATGTGGGGTTTATTTTTTAAATATATTTTTATTGATTTCAGAGAGGGAGAGAGAGAGAGGAACATCAGTGATGAGAATCATTGATTGGCTGCCTGCTCACCCCCCCCCACTAGGGATCGAGCCCTCAACCCAGGCATGTGCCTTTGACCGGAATCGAACCTGGGACCCTTCAGTCTGCAGGCCAACACTCTATCCCAGTGGTTCTCAACCTTCCTAATGCCACGACCCTTTAATACAGTTCCTCATGTTGGGTGACCCCCAACCATAAAATTATTTTCGTTGCTACTTCATAACTGTAATGTTGCTACTGTTATGAACCGTAATGTAAATATCTGATATGCAGGATGTATTTTCATTGTTACAAATTGAACATAATTAAAGCATAGTGATTAATCACAAAAACAATATGTGATTATATATGTGTTTTCCGATGGTCTTAGGTGACCCCCGTGAAAGGGTCGTTCGACCCCCAAAGGGTTCGCGACCCACAGGTTGAGAACCGCTGCTCTATCCACTGAGCCAAACCAGCCAAGGCTGTGAGGTTTATTTTAAGGTAAAAGAGAACCAGACCACAAACGCTGTCTGAAGCTTGTTTTCACTCCGGCCTTTCCGCTGGGAGGAGCTTTGAGGTCCGAGGTCGGAGGTCGGAGGTGGAAGGAGAGGCTCCCTCCTGCTCACGCGGGTCTGTCTCTGCAGGTGGCCAAGGTGGAGTACATCAGGAAGAAGCCAAAGTTAAAAGAAGTGCAGGTGCGGCTGGAGGAGCACCTGGAGTGCACCTGCACGCCCACCGGCCCGAGCCCCGACTTCCGCGAGGAGGAGACAGGTGAGCTGCGCGCCCCTCCCTTCTTCCCCGTGTCCAGGGTCCTTGCCTGGCTGCTGGGCTGTGGTGAGCAGGGTTCCGGGGGCGGTGGGATCGGGCTGCTGTGAGCTCAGACGCTTGCTGACCGGCCAGTATGCCCTGGGGCCCTGCTGGGGCGGATCCTGCCGCCCGTGGGCCTCGGTGGGAGGCGGGCCCAGCTGTGTGGCTCTGGCAGGAGAGGTTCAGGCTGCGGT